GATGTGCATCGATGGAGAAAATACCCCTCCCGTCAATGCTGTCGAACGGGCCGTTGATCTGCATGCGTTGTGAGTAAATGGATCTTCCGGCTACCAGAAATGTATCAAGTACGTTTGGCACGGCTGGCTGTGCCAGGACGACAAAGACCCCTCCACCTTCATTGAATACCCTGAAAGAGTCAATACGAAATACTGGTCACACGTCAATCCTGATAGACTGAGAGCTCCAATCTACCAGAATACGGTGCAAATATTCTTCTCTCTGTTGTACTTGGTCCTGTATACCATCGTGATAAACACGATCAACCCATCAGGTGATCTTGATATCGTGGAAGGAATCCTCTACATTATGACACTGGGCTTCGTATGCGATGAATTTGCCAAGTTTTGGAAAGTGGGCCGCTTCTACTTTGGCTTTTGGAATGCTTTCAATTCCACCCTGTACATTCTGCTTGTCATCTCATTCATCCTGCGTATTGTCGCTCTCACGCGCTCGCCGGATAGCGGTGATGCTGAGCGGATCAGGTTTAATGCCCTCAGCTACAACTTCCTTGCATTTTCTGCTCCAATGTTCTGGGGCCGGATACTGCTCTACTTGGACACATTCCGCTTTTTCGGCGCCATGCTCGTGGTCTTGAAGGTCATGATGAAGGAAAGTTTGATATTCTTTGCGTTATTGGGAGTTGTCATCATTGGATTCCTGCAAGGGTTCATGGGGATGGACCAAGCTGATCCCAAGAACGCCATGACAGCTTCGAATATTCTTCAGGGGATGGCAAACAGTGTTATGCAGAGTCCAGATTTCGGTGTCTTCCAGGAATTCGCTGCACCCTTTGGCATTTTGCTGTATTACTTCTTCACCTTTGTGGTGATGGTCAGTAAGTAACGTTCATAAAAGTCCAGCCAGTGACATCCCTTCCTGCCTGGGCGATAATGCAGAATACATCCCCATCTAACAACCATCCGTCCAGTTCTCCTTAACATCCTCATTGCTCTCTATAACAGCGCATATGAGGATATCACGGGAAACGCCATAGACGAATATATGGCCTTATTCGCACAGCGAACCTTGCAATTCGTCCGCGCCCCTGATGAAAACGTGTTCATAGCCCGTACGTCTGCAACAAACCCCCCAAAGCTTGTCCTACTCTTAAATACAAAATTGAATATCACTGATTTTCCACTGACAAATTCCAACGCCCATTTAGCCTTAAACTTGATCGAAATCTTCCTCCTCATCATCCCCTTCGAGTGGTGGCTCCCCTCAGCCCGCTACGAGCGCCTCAACCACTACGTAATGGGCATAATCTACTCTCCTTTGCTCTTGATCACGGCTCTGATCGAGACACTAAACGCCCGGCGTATCCGCCTCAACCGCCGGCTGGGCGAAGAAGATGACGACATACTCCAGGAATGGGAGGAAGCGGCACAAAATTTCCAACGGATTTTCAGGCGGAGAATTGGGATCTGAAGGTTGCGG